AACAACATATTTACATTTAGTCATTTTGCAGACGCTTTTATCCAAAGCGACTTACAATTGGGGAATACATAAAGCGATTCTTCTTAAAAAGGAAAACAGACACAGGAAGTGCTTGTAATACCAAGTTTTATGCATTGTTCAAATAAGTACAAGCTAGAAAGAGAAGGAATAAATAAAGAGAAAGACAAAGTATTTTTGTTTTTTTAATTTAATAAGATGAAGTCAAGTAGCGTTGAAAGAGATGAGTTTTCAGCTGTCGCTTGAAAATTGTCAGTGATTCAGCATTCCGGATAGGGGTGGGAAGATCATTCCACCAGCCAGGAACAGTGAACGAGAATGTTCTGGAAAGTGAATTTAAACCTCTCTGTGATGGTACCACGAGGCGTCACTCACTAACTCCATCGCTCCTATTCTATATAAATATACAAGTTTAGGGCTGGGCGATATAGCTAAATAATTTATCAAAGATATAATGTTTCATATCGTTCGATATCGATAATTATTGACATTTTTTAAACTTTTTTAAAACAAAGTGCAACAGAAAAAATGTTTAAATTTAACCACTGTATTAGACAAACAACAAATATTTTTTCAGCGCATTTAAATTGTCAACGAAAGGAAGTAACTCTATAAAAAACGTGCATTATGTCTAAATTAACTCATAAAAATCAAATATAATTTCGTAAATTGCATAAACAATTATGAACAAAACAGCATCATGTATTTATGCATTGCTTAATCCAAAGAGCCAAAGCTCCATTCACACAGATTGTATTTAAAAACATATGAGACGCAGTGAAAAGGAATAAACCTCAGTTTAAACTTGAACTGTTAAAACAGTTTAAACTGTTTTAACTTTGCATGGCTTTCTATACATCTCTTGTGTGATGTGAGTGCAGCAGTCATATTTGTCCATCTAAAAAATGCACTGAATATGCGTTCTGTGTGAATGGCTTGGTTTTGGTTTTAACCTAATCAAGATCTTCTCCGCATTGAGCTACTATATTTCTCTAATATTTTTTTATGAATAACGCAGCAGCGGCGCATCTTGTGGGCTAGACTAACAAAACATTAAAATGCAACAACCTCACTTACATCACCGCATCTCGCGCGCCACTGATGATGCTCCCTGATGCACTCCTAACATTCAAATGCAAATGTTTATTTTAAATTCGACTAATATTCATTCTTTATTCACAATCTCCTCATCACAGGCAGGCACAGCACTCATTTCAGCATGTGTTCGTGTTTGTGTGAGCTGTCTGCATCACTCATAGCACCTGCCTATATCGTGTGCTATATCGAAAATTTTTCTATCGTTATCGAAGAAGGTGCACCGTTGATAAATATCAATACCGTTTTATCGCCCAGGCCCATGATGCGCTTGAAGCAACACAGATTCACAGCGCGCAGCGCTCCACATAAAAATGTTTAAAGCAGAAAGAGAAGAGATATTGATGCGTAGTGTACTAAATCTGTTATGTAGTTTATTGAGCCTTTTCTTTTAACAGTTGTAAACTTCATTTACTGTGTGCTCTCGGAGAAAGTTTCATCGTCTTGACTGTCGTAACCGAACGCGACACGCAGCTTGAATGCTGTCCGTCTGTGTGTGTGTGTGTGTGTGTATGTGTGTGTGTGGGAAGACGCTTGCGCCCCGCCTCCACCACAAAGAGCAGACGAGATAACAGAGGAAGCGCGATCAAATAAAATGTTGGTGACATTAATTTTTTGTATAAAATAATATAAATCATTATTTTTAATTATACCAAAAATTATCACGCTCATTTCCATATATCGTACATTAAGTCAAAATATTGACTATTGCGACAGGCCTACACAAGTGTCCATCCCAAACAGAGTGTTATCTTCAGAAACTCTAAAATAACAACAACAACATCATCAATAATAGCCTAAATAATTTTTTCACTGCAGCATCTTCTACCAAACTGTCCATCATCATGGAATAAGCAACTGAAGAAATATGGTGCCGTCACAGTTTCACGCAACAGTGCTTGATAAATCAACCCAGTGATAGAATAAGACAGGACAGAAAGCAGGTCACCATCTGCTTGTCTTACCCAGAGTGCTGCACTCTTGTGAAATGGCAGCAGAACAGTTTGCCTCATTGCAGTGATATTAAATCATCATCACCACTATCGACATGATTAGAAAAACAAAATGATCATATTGAGGAGAACCTCTCAGCCTCAACGAATGAAAGCAGATAAAAGCTGCAAGTAGCCTATGGATAATGACAGTCTTTTTACAGGTCACTTCACAGCATTGCCACCCAGAAATGTCATCTATTACGGAGATATTTCTTGAAACTCGCTGTAATCAATCTTTGCACACAAGAAGGTGGTGTTTTCTTCCATATTTCCACCCCACAGACGAGCATAACTACACATAGTTTCATGAGACATCTGAAATGGACCGAAGGGTCCTGTGTACATATGATCCGGATTTCGATTGCCATGCCCTTTCAAGCCCCTCAAAGAAAGCAAGTGGTCAATATCTGCACTTTATATAAAATGCATAGCCCCTGCTTCCTTATGTTACCATGGTAACAGAATCGGGAATAACGAGACACAGTTTCCTCCTCCTTTGAATAATAAATTCCCACACTGAAGATCAGGAAAACACATGCAACTACAACCGCTGCTTTATGCTTTCATTATCAAAAATGGCAGCAGCACAAAAAGTGCTATGGACTTTGGATCATTGCAGTGTGGGTTTTCTCTTTAGTGAGGAATGCCTGAGAATCATTATTCACACCAGCTGCTTGAGGAATCACCTGAGACGGGGCGACAACGATGGTTCTTTGAGTTGAGCTGTAATGTGACAAACCACACAAAACCAAATGGTGAAAAAAGGACTGTGGGCACTATTTCAATGGTGTGAACATGACAGGAAACGAGGACATAAAACAGCCAGACATTACCAAAACATTTCCTTGTTGCCTCTGTCCTTGTTTCATTATGACTGCAAGCAGCAATTCTTTGAATTTAAGCAGCGCAAGTAACACGTCACAGAGGGAGCAGAGATTTCCAAGAATTCCTTTACAATGCCAAGAACATGATTACAGCAAGACTACTGATAGTAAATACTTGAAACCACAACAAAGCTCAAATGCTGGTAGTTTGAGAGGTGGAAAAGTTTCATTGTCACATACATGTGTGTCTTTTCCAAAAGCTTCTTGCATTGAAATAAGTATGAAAAGGCTTTTAATATTATAATTTAAAATTCAGCGCATGCTTCACTTGAAATCTCTGTCGGTGCAAAGACCATGGTTTAAAAAAAATTATGCGAGTAAACATTGCAGTGCTGCAGACTTACAAACGCCATATTTACTGATTTCACCTCTGTCCTTGTTTCATTATGACTGCAAGCAGCAATTCTTTGAATTTAAGCAGCGCAAGTAACACGTCACAGAGGGAGCAGAGATTTCCAAGAATTCCTTTACAATGCCAAGAACATGATTACAGCAAGACTACTGATAGTAAATACTTGAAACCACAACAAAGCTCAAATGCTGGTAGTTTGAGAGGTGGAAAAGTTTCATTGTCACATACATGTGTGTCTTTTCCAAAAGCTTCTTGCATTGAAATAAGTATGAAAAGGCTTTTAATATTATAATTTAAAATTCAGCGCATGCTTCACTTGAAATCTCTGTCGGTGCAAAGACCATGGTTTAAAAAAAATTATGCGAGTAAACATTGCAGTGCTGCAGACTTACAAACGCCATATTTACTGATTTCATTTTTTTTTTTTAAATGTCTAGACTATTCACATGATATCATTATGAATCTCTGTACTGTTGCCCAGTAATCATCAACAGATTATAGTCCGAGCGTTACAGTATACACATGCTGCTAAAAACCATTTCCAGTACAATTATAAAGATGGACTTATAGAAGGGTAGAAGTCTAAATTAAACATTTCAACAACCGTGCCATTCCACAAAAATTGTGTCTTTTGTGTCAATCAATGTGCTGTTATAGCCATTTTTCTTCACATATCAACAACAATCAAGTAACTTTACCTTAAGAGCTTTTCCTTTTCGGCTTTTTTACCAGATCTGTTTTCAACTACTCCTTGCTTTATTAGCAATAATGCACATTTTAATCTGAAAAAAAATTATTGGTTATATTATTTATATAGCTTAATAATGTTATTTAGTATTTTTAAACACTGATAAAAAAAAGTCCCTTATTAAATGAAACTTCAAAAAGGATTTTAACTTGAATTGTTAACCCCGTTATCATGATTATTATTAAAAACTGATTATTTTAGGCACATCTGGTCTACTAGCCTATATTCCAACACAGTTTTCCCCCATTCAGTTTGACATGGTCGCTATTTCCTAAAATCTTCAACATTTACTTTAAAGTCAGCTTTTCAGTATGAAAAAGATACATGTTTCGCGGAAAGACCGACCAGAAAGAGAGAAAAAACTGTATTAAAAGCTGTACGCACTTACAAACTGCAATGTAAGGGAATCTCTCTCACCAACCAACCTCCTCCAGAGCCGCGCGAAATGCACCGGTTGGTAAGAATGACAATTATTTAATAACGTTAAAAATGTGTTCAAGTATTCAAGCCTCTCAGTAAGTGGGAAAACCTTACGTTTGAACGGATGTGCTTCTTAAACAAACGTTCATAACTGTCAAACCAGTCTGCGTTTTGTGGAACAGTGAGTTGTCGCGTGCTCCAGCGCGCGTAAGTTACCCTCAATACTCAAGCTGTTTGTGTGCTACATATTACTTTATAAAACACATGTTGAGCAGCATCAAGCGTGGTCTGGTCAAGAGTGAATTAAAATCAACTTTCTAAAGCAGAAAAGCGCTCTCTTTCCCATTCCTGCGACACCGCGTCCGATTCACTGTTATTGTCAAATGAGAGTCGCCAGTAGGTTACTCCTGTGCATAACTATGTGAGGTTGATAGGTGTAGCGACCACACAAAGATATTGAATCTCTAATAAATTAATATTTTTCTCACCTGTGTGGTTGAAAGAAGCTTCTGAAGGTTTTCTGCGTTTCTGCTGCGCTATTTTCGATATGCCGTCCGATTATTCTCTTGATAAATTTACATTGTAGTGCTCTTTTGGGTTTGCAAACAACCAAGACTCCGACGGAGCTATACATTTACCGTAATGTCACACATACACAATATCAGCGCAGCTCTGTCTACCGTAATAAACACAGCGCGCTCGTGTACACGTGACAGACAGATGCTCACAGAAATACGAATGAATGGAGCCTCTGCTGCTATAAGACAGTGGCTAAGCATAATACTGCCATTCTTTTAATATATCTGAAATATCTCTATATCTTTACAGTCTGAGAAGTGGTTTTGTGACGATTTTCATAGCTGAATGAAGATTTTTAAAATACAAGCAAGGATGATTGAGGGGAAACAAATATTGAAGGATTAAATCCTTCAAAACACATTGGTCGACCAGCGATCACAATATTTTGAGGGGAAAGTGTCCCTTTTGATGTCTACAGTGGTTGTAGCACTGCTTCCAAATGCATTTCAGACACCTTCATAAATGTGAGCGTTGATATAAAGATATTATGGTGCAGAAGTGTCATACGTTTAGGCAACAAATAGCTTGCCTACTGCTATTAGAGAGGCAATCATGCAATCAAATTGTTTCTTCAAAGATGGTAAAGAGGTGAATGGGGTTAATCTGATCATGTTGATCTGAAGATAACTGATGGTTTCAAGTGAGGAGTAGGTGCCATAATGATCTGTTCATCTAAATAACCTTGTCTAAAATACGTCAGTCTGATATCTTACTTGCTATTTGCGATTAAACAAATATGCACATAAGTATTGTTTCAGCTGTGGCTCCGTAGTAAGAAAATCTTCCACGGGAGAGTAAAAGCATGCATTGGCTGTATAGTTTGGACATGAAAGCAGCCCACATAGTATTCTGAAGTAATCTCATGAGACGCCAGCCCACACAATCTTTAAACTAAAATGTCTTGCCAACATAATGTTTAATATTTAAACGTCAGTATACAGTAGCAAAAAGGGTACTCACACTCAGCATTCAATGTCCTTGTTTTCCCAGTGAGGCATGAACTTGAATAATATTATATAAGCATGCCTCTATCGTTGTGAGTTCTACTGATCAGTTTTTTACCCAAGAGTTCTTGTAAAAATGTACTGTTTGCTGGCAAGAGCATGTTGGAAAAAGATTATGATATGAAAATAGATATAGTTTACTTAACGGTAAAACACTTTTCCTCCAACTGAGCCATTCCTAGAAACAGTTTGACCCTATTTAACTTTTGAATCTATTTAAGGGAAGGAATGAAATGTCCCACAGCTCAGTATTGAAAAAATGTGATCAAAATGCCCAAATCTGTCCTGTGTCTGTCCTGTTTGTAATAAGTGGTCGGCTACATGTTACCCAGTCTCTCTTGGTTTTGATTTCATGTCATAACTAAGGTTTCCAGTCTGTGTTGACTCATTCATTACTCAGGGCAATTAAAATGATTATGAGGATCATAAGACTTTAATGAGAACAGTAATTTGCACATTCAGTTCAGTGTGCTTCTTCCCACAAGAGCTGGATTACTGAATAGTGCAGTGTTGAGGGCCATTACATTTAAATGCCTATTGGTTTGTATTGCAGAGACAATTATGAAGTAATTTATTAGACACCTAAAGGAAGAACATTTTATCAATCTGAGCAGCGAATTTCATCTCAGGATGAATTTTTGCAGCGTTGAGACTAATCAAAGTATTCCGTTTTCAGCCTGCTACTCGAAACAATAGCTTCTTTTTCAAAGTACAGTTTAATTTATTTTGGATTTTGATTGACACATTGTATTTTGCATCAAGATAAATCACGACATTAGTCTGCTATACTGGAAACCAGACCTTATTTTCATGAAGTACAGTTGAGTTTCTATGACTGTCCTTAAAATAGGCCTATAAAAGCTGTGCGAATGCAGCATTCATATACTAATTAGATATGATTCATCAGACCTCTAATAACAATTTCAAGGCTTTTCGCTTCATGTAATTCAACTTTGAGTACACAGTAGTTAATCAGATTGTCAAGATGTCTGTCAGTGGGAAAAAAAGAGAATCAGACATTTTACAGACAGCATATACAGTAATTCCAAGATAATTCCACATCATTTTTTGCAATAGTCTTGGAAAAAAGACCTTTGGAAGGAATTATATCAATAGTTTCCTTTGATGAAAACTGCTCCAGCTAGCTCTGAAAAAAAACTGAAAAAGAGGACAAGTGTTAAATGTGTTGATACTGCAGTTGTTAAAAAGGCACATTACAAATCTGAGTGAAAATAAACAGTATTCATTACTCATGCAAAATCTTTGCATCTCTCTAAGGATAGAGGCATTTATAAATGTCAGACGCAGGCTTTTGAGAATAAGAGGATGTGAATATCAATGCATTCTCACAGCCCTTCAACACATCTTTGCTGTGTAGCTGCTCCAGTGTTGTTTTTTCAAGAGCACTGCATTGCAGTGATGAAATCCTGACTGTTTTATTCTAGCATGCACTGCAACATTCATTCACAATGTTATATCAAACATAGTTATAGTTATTCTGTGTGTAAATGGAGTGTACAGAGAGTTGAGTCTTACATTTTTCTGCACACTGAAAAGCAGCTGAATTTTAGCTTGTGCATGAACAAGAGCTTGGGCACGACAGGAAAACATAATGATTCAACAGGACTAACAAGACTGCAGAAAGCAAATGTTTAATTCTACCACCTACACACATCTGTATGGATTATCCATAGATCTGAGCTCAGATATGCCAGTTAGATCTATCAGAACATGTCGAGAAGGAGCTTTGTTCATTTTGTTGCTCTGCTTTTAAGGATAGCTTTGATCTGAGAGCAGTCATTAGAGAGGAGGGTGTTCCTTTACATTGACTAAACCTGAAAGGGGTAGTGAGATCCCTATAAAGCCTCATGGCTTACAAACTTAGTCAACCCAGTCCAAAACTGAACAAACATGACCTAATCATGATCAAATCAATGATACTGGCTGTTATTTTGCACTATGCTGATCTCGTTTTAAACCCCTTTCAGTTCTCCACTCATCTGGAACTGACTGACTTGCAGTAATTCAATATTATACTGGCCTGAGATGAGCTAATGTTAGCTTTGGGTTTGGTAATAACATTACAGACATGATAAACATTACAAGAACACACTGGGAAAAAATTGTGTACTTTAAAACAATTTTCACTCAGGAATTGCTAGTAAAATTCACAAATAATTACACAGAAACAAGTAAAACACTGAATTACATGAAAAACTTTTAAGTAGACAGACTGAAATAGTATTTTCTTGTAACTCCAAAAAGCTATGTTTTATTGAATTTTTTTTTTTTTTTTTTTTTTTTTTTTACAGTGTACATCCTGAGAGCCAAATGAATAATATAGTCTTATCAGGGTTTTAAATGCACCTGATACTGATTTTTAAAGGGGTCATTCACCCAAAAATGAAAATTTTGTTTGTGATGTCATTAGACCCCAATGACTTTCATTGTATGGATAAAAAAACATTAAAAAAATATTTTATGAAAGTGAGTAAATTGATAAAGGCAATTTCCTGTTTTGCCATATTTGATTTTAATTTGTGTATTGAAAATGTAGACAGCCACTTTCAAGTTGTGCGAAACTAAGCCAGTTATAAACTTGCATTTCATACGGTCACGGAATGCCAGGAACAAGGTTAGATCTAAATGCAGTAGTTTATTAAAGTAACAAAATTAACAGAACAAAAACTAAACAACCGGTAACTTCAAACACAGGGAACAGAAAACACAACGTAACCTCAAACAATACTGCAGCAACGACAGACAGTGAGAGCATGGTATAAGTAGTGATGAAATGATGAGTAAATTGTCAACAGGTGATAATGATCAGAACAGAACGACAAAGCAAAGGACTATGGGAAACAGAGTTCAAAACATGTAACACAGAAATAAGAAGAGCGCCCTCAAGTGGCCAGTCCAGGGCACCACAACCAGACACTGTGACACATACACACAAACTCTGCTCTTTACAAAATTGCTGAGTGAAGCCGCTAATGAATTCTTTCTGTCTTCCAGTCAAAAGAAAAAAACCTGGTTTGTTATCATAAATTATGACAGCACCAGGGCTTTAAAGGGGTCATATGATGCTGCTAAAAAGAACAGTATTTTGTGAATTTGGTGTAATGAAATGTGTTTATGCGGTTTAAGGTAAAAAAAAAAACACATTATTTTCCACATACTGTACATCATAGTTTCTCCTCTATGCCCCGCGTCGATTTTTACAAAGCTCATCGGTCTGAAAAGCGAGGTGTGCTCTGATTGGCCAGCTATCCAGTGCGTTGTGATTGGCCGAATACCACAAGCGTGAGACGGAAATGTTACGCCCCTCACCATATTGTGATGCCGTGTCCCGGAGCGATGAGACAATTGGAAGTGTTGTCAAAAGATGCTGAAAGAACCAAAGTATGTGATCTTAATTCATGAAAACATTAAGCCATGGAATGTCATGTATTAGTGATTTTGCCATCTGTTTTAATAATGTTTATTTAAAGTGTAGTTTAACCTGCTTACCC